TCCGATCCTCACAGGACATGCTGGTGAGATTAACATTCTCCCAAGAGTCTTCCTGAGCCAGCTGGAAAAAGGTGGTGGCATCCCTGGATGCTACAAGCTCTGCTCTGCTCACTGGGCCTGATGATACTGTGTTCCCCACCAGCAGAGAGAGGAGAAGCAAAGGTGAAAACATCCTTCTCCGAAGTGGCTTGCAATTAACTTGCAGGATCTGTCTGTGTTTTGTTTCAGAGAGGGGAAAACAAAAACAAAACATTGGCATTAAGATCTAAATTAAATCCTTCCAGGCAGCTAAAAGCTATTTAAAAGCGAAACATCTTTAAATCCTTTCCTATTGCATCCAGACAGCGGAAGTGATCATTACTGTCTCTTCTGTAATTAAGCTTAAGTAAACATGAACCCTTGGGGACAGACGTATCAGCATCTACAGTTTTTCATGCAGAAAGCAACCAGGTTGTAGCACCAGCCTGGTTCCCACACCAGTACCCTCGATCCCAGCCTGTGCCTGTGCAGCACAGGGGTCCGAGGCAGTGCCAGTGCTACTCCAGTATAAGAATACCAGTTGGTAGTGTACTGGTCAGGCTGCAAGAGAGCTGCACTGTGAGACTGACCCTCTTCCTCTGCTCCTGACCCGAGGGCAGTGCCTGGAGCTCGTCTGCCAGGCCCTGCGGCAGGTGAGGGCAGCAGACGCGCTCCACACTCCTGCTCCTGGGGAAGGGACGTGCTGACAATGCAGGTCCTGAACCACATTTCAGGAAAGTGATCAGAAACAGAGTGTGGTCCTGGATGAGGGCCCCAAAGGCCTGGGTAACGAGGAAGGATGATACGTATGCAATGTTACAGTTCCCTCTTCGCTCCCTCCTTGCCCCACCCCGATGTTGTCTTTGCCATTAAAAAAAAAAAGTGGGGGGAAAAAAAAAAAAAAAGAGAGAGAAAGAAAATGTCCTAGATTACTTGTCCAAGGCTGTGCAGGTAATCTGTGTCAGAGGAAGGAATTAACCGCAGCGTGAAACCAGAGCTTTACATACTGAGTTGCCTTTTGTGCTGCCAGGCATCATAAGAATCATTCTTCATCCAAAAATCTACACAGTGGAGGAGGGTGACTGAAACCCCACTTATTATGAAATACCATAAACTTATTCCAAACCTTAATAGTTACTTGCTGTTCCCTGAATGATGCCAGGTCTTGCCCAGACCATCATCAGTTGCTGCCATCCCAGGTGTTAAGTATAAAAATAGTTTAAGTTGGTTGCCTGTGTCCTTTTTGTCATCTGGAACTGGGCAAGAGCTGAGCAGCCTCAGGGCTTTCTGGTCGCTGAAGCTGCTGGATTCCCAGCACGTGGCAAGGGAGAGGATGGGAGGGATGGGGCTGCTGGATCCCGATTTTAGATTTAATCTTAATCCCTGGCTCTACCCCGCACCCGCTTGCACGTACCTGCCCGGGAGCCCCGGTGCCTCGTCCGTCTGCTCTGCGTGGCTCCGGTTGCCTGGCTTTGGTTTTATACACTTGGGTGACTCAGCCGAGCGCCTGAAACGTGAAATGCCTCTTTTCTGTTCCCAGCTTTCCCTGCTGGAGGCTCTGCCCCCAAGATCAGGAGGGGTTTGTTCCAAGCTCGCTCCCCCGCATCCAGCTTTCCCCTGCCCGGAGAGGGGGTGGCAGCTTTCCCCGCTCCCTTGGCCCGGGCGGGAGGTGGGTGGGAGGGCTCTGATTTCCTAACACTCGGGGCTGTTTCGTCTGTCTTTGTCTAAGCAGAGGCGGGGGGAAAGAGGGGGAAAGGGAAAAGATCAGTGTCTGTAGTCCCACGTCTCACGTCTTCCTGACAGAGGGGAAGGGAGAGGAATTATTGTGTTTCTTCGCTGACAGGTCCTGGTGATAAAAAACTAAGAGGGCTATGTTTGCCGACACAGGCTTTGCTCTCTCTGTAGGCGCCAATAAAAGGCTTTAAGTGTTTATATTTCTCTCTCAGACTCTTGTACTTGGGAGTAAGTCCTGAAAATGTTCACGCAGGACAAATTGCTTTTCTAAGGAGGCCCTTGAGAAATGTGAAGAGCAAAGCTCTCGCCTACTGCTCCCGCAGTGAGGAATTCTCTCAGCTGATGGAAAGGGCCTGTGGCTGCGCGTGATGGACTTGGAAGGCCTCTCCCTGTCCTGCTGTGTGTGGGTTGTATTCTCTTCTGCATCTGCTGTACTGTGTGGTTTGGGAGAACTCCCTTCCCGCTCCTCTCCTCCCAAGCTGGGTAAGTAAAGCTGACAAAGTAAAACATCTCCCACCAAGGGACCCGCCCTGAGCTGAGTTTCTCAGCATTCCCGCCAGTCAAATAATAATTAGGCTGATCAAGGCATGAAAGTAAAGCCAGGAACTGGAAAGGGAGGAACTGGTAGATTGTTCCCAAGTAAAAGCAAAAGGGTGGTTGTTCAGTTGCTACTGTAAGACAATAAATTATTAGAATTTTCAGGGAAAACAGTAGTCAGTGCTTTTTGTTTCCAGGACAGCGAAACATTCATGACATGAAGGCATCACAGGCCTGTATGTTTTGGTGCTAAAGTGCAGATAAAAGTCTTGCTTTCCCAAAAACACTGAGTCTGCATGTACGCAGACCTTATCTATTGACCATGTCATTCACTATCTGCCTGGGGAGAGAGAGCCTTGAAAAACACCAGAACAGCCACAGAACAAGATACCGTCTTTCAATAGGACACCCTGGAGCCGTTGCGGTTCTTTTGAGGCTGGGTGAGATGTACATATTGTTCCCTTTTGGAATGGCTCTAAAGAAAGACAAATAGCTCCCTAAATGAGGGGCTAATCCCTCTGATTAAGCCTGGTGGAACAGCTCATGTGTGCACTAACAGGTACCTTCAGAGATTGGCACTTTTTTAGGTTCAAAGGGCAACCTGGAGCAGGTTAAAAAAATCTGAAGAATTTGGTGTAATAGGAGGGAAGTCCAGCCCCAGCCAGGTGGCAAATTGTCATGGTTTTGTTTTGGGTTTTAAAATACCTTTTATCTTTTATATTTTAATATCTTAGAAAACTCCTCCATGAAACCTGGTGAACTGCCTTACTTTTAATGTGTTCAGCTGTATTGACTTCATTTTGGAGACTTGGTCAAGCAGCCTCGTAGCCTTTTAAGACTCGAAAACAGCTAAGCCATTTTGTTAGCAAGTGGGCCACTCATTTCAGTGAAGGTGGAAGCCAGGTGGAGTCTTTGCCCAGAGGCGCTTGATTTCTAGTCCATACAGAGAACTTCTGGCAAGAAGAAGCAGAATCACCTTGGAAAATAAGCTTTTGTTATTTTCCCCACTTGACTCTGCTTTTTGGATGCCAGGTTTTTGAGGCAGGCATTGTATTTTTGCAGCTCTTTTGCCTATCTGCAAACTCTAATAATCTGGAATATTACTGTTACGGTTCTGTGTCTCAAACAGCTGCCCAGGTACTGGTGAAAGTGTACAGGAGCAGACAGCAGCCCTCTCACCAGTTTCTTTGAAACCATCTGGAAGCAGCAAGCAGAGATTTCCCGTTTGTGAGACTCCTGGGCTTGTTCTGAAGTTGCTGTGTTTCTCCAGGTTATTCCTGTATTTTTTTTTTTTTTTTTTTTCTTTTTTTTTTAAAACTTTATTGATCAAGGCATGAAAGTAAAGCCAGGAACTGGAAAGGGAGGAACTGGTAGATTGTTCCCAAGTAAAAGCAAAAGGGTGGTTGTTCAGTTGCTACTGTAAGACAATAAATTATTAGAATTTTCAGGGAAAACAGTAGTCAGTGCTTTTTGTTTCCAGGACAGCGAAACATTCATGACATGAAGGCATCACAGGCCTGTATGTTTTGGTGCTAAAGTGCAGATAAAAGTCTTGCTTTCCCAAAAACACTGAGTCTGCATGTACGCAGACCTTATCTATTGACCATGTCATTCACTATCTGCCTGGGGAGAGAGAGCCTTGAAAAACACCAGAACAGCCACAGAACAAGATACCGTCTTTCAATAGGACACCCTGGAGCCGTTGCGGTTCTTTTGAGGCTGGGTGAGATGTACATATTGTTCCCTTTTGGAATGGCTCTAAAGAAAGACAAATAGCTCCCTAAATGAGGGGCTAATCCCTCTGATTAAGCCTGGTGGAACAGCTCATGTGTGCACTAACAGGTACCTTCAGAGATTGGCACTTTTTTAGGTTCAAAGGGCAACCTGGAGCAGGTTAAAAAAATCTGAAGAATTTGGTGTAATAGGAGGGAAGTCCAGCCCCAGCCAGGTGGCAAATTGTCATGGTTTTGTTTTGGGTTTTAAAATACCTTTTATCTTTTATATTTTAATATCTTAGAAAACTCCTCCATGAAACCTGGTGAACTGCCTTACTTTTAATGTGTTCAGCTGTATTGACTTCATTTTGGAGACTTGGTCAAGCAGCCTCGTAGCCTTTTAAGACTCGAAAACAGCTAAGCCATTTTGTTAGCAAGTGGGCCACTCATTTCAGTGAAGGTGGAAGCCAGGTGGAGTCTTTGCCCAGAGGCGCTTGATTTCTAGTCCATACAGAGAACTTCTGGCAAGAAGAAGCAGAATCACCTTGGAAAATAAGCTTTTGTTATTTTCCCCACTTGACTCTGCTTTTTGGATGCCAGGTTTTTGAGGCAGGCATTGTATTTTTGCAGCTCTTTTGCCTATCTGCAAACTCTAATAATCTGGAATATTACTGTTACGGTTCTGTGTCTCAAACAGCTGCCCAGGTACTGGTGAAAGTGTACAGGAGCAGACAGCAGCCCTCTCACCAGTTTCTTTGAAACCATCTGGAAGCAGCAAGCAGAGATTTCCCGTTTGTGAGACTCCTGGGCTTGTTCTGAAGTTGCTGTGTTTCTCCAGGTTATTCCTTTTTTTTTTTTTTTTTTTTTTTTTTTTTTTTTTTTTTTTCTACTTTTTTATGAACTTCAGTGGCAACGTGGAGGAATGTTTAGTAAAGGCAGGCATTTTTGTCAGCCTTTTCACATGGATGATACACAGAGAGCTGAACCAGACGCCCACTCCCCGGGGGCTGATTCAGTGCTGCACAAAACC